AAGAAGTCAAATTTTCACTATTTGCAGATGATATGATATTGTACATAAATGACCCCAAAAATTCTACCAGGGAACTCCGACAGCTGATAAACTTCTTCAGTAATGTGGCAGGATACAAGATTAACTCAAAAAAATCAGTGGCCTTCCTATACACAAATGATAAAAGGGCTGAGAAAGAAATCAGAGAAACATCGCCCTTTATAACAGCCAAAAATAATATAAAATAACTTGGGCTAACTCTAGCGAAGCAAATGAAAGACCTGTGTGTATGACAAGAACTTTAAGTCTCTGAAGAAAGAAACTGAAGAAGATATCAGAAAATGGAAAGATCTCCCATGCTTATGGATAGGTAGGATTAACATAGTAAAAATGGCAATCTTACCAAAACCAATCTACAGATTCAATGCAATCCCCATCAAAATCCCAACACAATGCTTCACAGACCTGGAAAGAACAATACTCAACTTCATATGGAAAAACAAAAAACCCAGGACAGTTAAAAGAATCATGTATAATAAAGCAACCTCTGGAGGCATCACCATCCCTGACCTCAAGCTCTACTATAGAACTATAGTAATGAAAATAGCTTGGTACTGACATAAAAACTGACATGTGAACCAATGGAACCGAATTGAAGACCCTTGACATTAATCTGAAACTTAAGAACACCAAATTTTTGACAAAGAAGCCAAAACTGTACCATGGAAAAAAGAAGAATCTTCAACAAATGGTGCTGGCATAACTGGATGGCAACATGTAGAAGATTGCAAATAGATCCATATCTGTCATGCACAAAACTCAATTTCAAGTGGATCAAAGACCTCAACATAAATCCAGGTACACTGAACTTGATGGAAGAGAAAGTAGGAAGTAGTCTTGAATGCACTGGCACAAGAGACCATTTCCTAAATATAACACCAGTAGCACAGACGCTGAGAGCAACAATTAATAAATGGGACCTCTGAAACTGAGAAGCTTTTGTAGGGCAAGGACATGGTCAATAAGACAAAATGACAGCCTACAGAATGGGAAAAGATCTTCACCAACCCCACATCTGACAGAGGGCTGATGAAAAATATATAAAGAATTCAAGAAACTAGACATCAAAATACTGAACAATCCAATTTAAAAATGGGCTATAGAGCTAAACAGAGAATTTTCAACAAAAGAATCTCAATTGGCCAAAAGACATTTAAGGAACTGCTCAACATCCTTAGTTATCAGGGAAACACAAATCAAAATGACTCTGAGATACCATCTTAATATCTGTCAGAATGGCTAAGATCAAAAACACTGAAGACAGCTTATATTGGAGAGGATGTGAAGCAAGGGGAAGACTTCTACACTGTTGGTGGGAATGCAAATTTGTACAGCCACTTTGGAAATCAGTATGGCAGTTTCTCAGAAAATTGGGAATCAATCTTCCTCAAGACCCAGCTATACCACTCTTGGGCATATACCCAAGGAATGCTCAATCATACCACAAAGACACATGCTCAACTATGTTCATAGCAGCATTATTTGTAATAGCCAGAACCTGGAATAATCTAGATGTCCCTCAACTGAAGAATGGATAAAGATAATGTGGTACACATACACAATGGAGAGAAAAATAGCAGAGAAAAACAATGACATCATGAAATTTTCAGGCAAATGAATGGAACTAGAAAATATCATACTGAATGAGGTAACCCAGACTCAGAAGGACAAACATGTTATGTACTCACTCATAAGTGGATACTAGATATAAAGCAAAGGATAACCAGACTGCAACCCACAGCTCCAGGAAGCCTAGCTAGTAAGGAGGACCCTAGGAAGGACACATGGATTGCCAGTGATGGAGAAATGGATGGGTTTTATATGAGCAAACTGGGGTCGGGGTGGGGGTAATGAAGGGCAAAGGACAAGAGATGAGACCTTAGGGGAGTAGGAGGTTCAAGCTGGAACGGGAACAGAGTAGGAGAGCAAGGAAAGACATACCATGATAAATGAAGACACCATGGGAATAGGGAGAAATGGAGTGCTAGGGTGGTTCCCAGAAATCCACAAGGATGACTTTATCATAGACTACTGGCAATAGTCGAGAGGGTGCCTGATCTAGCCTACTCTGATGATTAGATGGCTGAATACCCTAACTGTCATCATAGAACCCTCATCCAGTGACTAATGGAAGCAGATGCAGAGATCCATGGCTGGGTCCCAGGCATAGCTCCAGGAGTCCAATCGATGAGAGGAAGGATTCTATGAGCAAGGGATATCGAGACCATGACTGGAAACAGCACAGAGACAACTAGCCAAACTAGTGTAAACACATGAACTGTGGACCAATAGCTGAGGAGCTCCCATGGTACTGAACTAGGCCCTCTGGACAAGTAAGATATTTGTTTAGCTTGAACTGTATAGGGGGCCCCCAGGCAGTGGGATTAGAACCTGTCCCTAGTGCATGAGCTGGCTTTTTGGAACCTAGTGCCTATGGTGAGACACTTTGTGCAGCCTTGGTGCAGGGAGGAGGGGCTTGGACCTGCCTTAACTGATTGTACCAGGCTCTGCTGACTCCTCATGGGAGACCCTGCCTTGAAGGAGGCGGGAATGGGGACTGTGTTGGGGGGAAGGGTGGGCGGCAGGAGGAGGAAGGACAGGGGAATCTGTGGTTGGTATGCAAAATGAATAGAAAAATCTCTTAATAAAAAAAAAGAAATGAAAGAAAGTATTTAAATAAAATAGTAAAAGACCAAATCTGAATGGAAAAATATGAGAACCCTTTTTACTAGTATTAATTATTTCCATTATCTAATTACAGAAACAGAAACCATAAATAATCATATGAGAAAATGCTCTCACTATATTTCTAAAATAATTAGAAAATGCAAATTAAATCTATATTGAGATATCACTAAACCCTACAAAAAATAACTTAAATTTAAAAGTTAATGATGCCAAGTATTGAGGATATGAGACAACTAAACTCTAAACTATTAATGAAAGGAATGGAAAGTGGTAAAACAGCTTATAAAATTTCCAAATTGTTCTGTAGAGGTAAGCATATACTTAGCACATCTAGAAAAATGAAAACATAATCACACAAAACTGAATGCAAATATTTATACCAGATATATATATTCACCAAACACTGACAACAATTCAAATGGGTAAACAATAGTACATCCATATAATGGAATACAGTACTATCCATCAATAAAAAGGGATAGACCATCAATACATGTAACAATACAGATGAATTCTAAAAGCATTATACTAAGCATTTTTTTTTAAAAAAAGGCATCTCAAAGGTTACATAGTACATTGTTTCATATATTCATGACATTCTGTGAAATGTGAACTAGGGGAATGAGAACAGATCAATAGCTGTCAGGGGTGGAGTTAGGGATGAAAAATTAAAATTGGCACAAAGCCTACTATGGTAGCCACATGCCTTTATCCTAACAATTGGGACGCAGAGGAAGGAAGATCCCTCCAGTTCAAGGCCACAGCATGAACTACATAGGAAGATCCTGAAAACAAAGCAAAGTAGGAAGATGGAATTTGTGGGTGATGGAATGATTTTGTAGCCTCACTCACTATCAAATTCTTAAAAATTGGGGCTGAGGAGATGGCTTAGCAGCTAAGAGTGCTTGTTATACAAGCATCAGGCCCTGAGTTCAAATTCCCAGCACCTACATGAAACCCTAGACATGGCCTTGAACCTATAACCTCAGGGCTATGGGGACAGAAACAGAAGCATTAAGGTTCATTTAGAGAGTGACAGAGCAGGAAACTAATATCTTCCTCTATCTATGCACACAGGCTCTCACATGTTAGGAACACACATACACATACACACACACACACACACACACACACACACACACACACACACACACACACACACACACATATCCCTACCTACCTTAAAGCTGAATTTTATGACACATAAAATTTTTATTATTATTTTTTTTTCCGGAGCTGAGAACCGGAACCCAGGGCCTTGTGCTTTCTAGGCAAGTGCTCTACCACTGAGCTAAATTCCCAACCCCGACACATAAAATTTTTAAATAAATATTTATGTATTCACAAAGAAAAATCTACTTCCAAAGATATTTCATTTTAGTCTCATGTGAAACACAAAATCTAGACAGATACAATACTCCCATTTTATAAATGAAGCAACAAGCATGTAATAAATAAATGGTCATACAAGTTATATGTGGTAGAACCAAAGCTACAGTCTAGATATACTAATTCTACTTCAACGACATCCTCTGAATTTCCTCATGTCTCAGTCAATTGGAGTCAAGCAGTCAATCAAAAATGTCACTAAAAAACCAACAGAACCAAAGAGAAATAGGGAATAAAAATTTAAAAAGTTATTAGCAGTATACAACTCAGGATTTGGCTGTGATCCTTAAGGAATTAAAAGTTCCACACTGAAGAAGTCTGACTCGTGATCCACAAGCAATAAATGATTATTTCTTCCACAGAACCTTAATCTTTAATACTAAGAAAAAAAAGAAACAAGATCGGGCAGTGATGGCGCACACCTTTAATCCCAGCATGCCTCGGGAGGCAGAGCCAGGCAGATCTCTGTGAGTTCGAGGCCAGCCTGGTCTACAGAGCGAGATCTAGGACAGGCACCAAAACATGCAGAAACCCTGTCTCGAAAAAAATCAAAACAAACAAACAAACAAAACAAAAAGAAACAAGATCTTAGCAGATAACCTTGCAATGATTGCTCCAAGTCAAGCACTATTGGTCTTTAGCACTGCCCTGGACAACAAGGCAGCTTCAATTCACAATGGGTTTTGCAGCTTTAAATATAACATTTTCAAGTTATATTACCACCACCCAAGAGTAGAAAAACAAAAGAGAAATCTTTAAAAATAGCTTTTCAGTTTCAGAATCAAAAGAAAGGGGTATAATACTTGCAAAAAAAAATTCTATAACAGTTTCACTAAGAAAAATATTTTTAAATGTACATCTGTATCAAAAATAGCATACATCACCTAAAAACAATGGTGTGGTTTCCTCTAAAGTGGTTGCATTAGGATCTGCTCCAGCTTCCAAAAGAATCTGTGTGATTTTCCAGTGCCCTTGACTCACAGCAAGATGTAATGCACAGAAGCCCTCAAAAGTCTTTGTCTTAATGTAGTTTTCAGATGAATCTGTGGAAGAAGGGAAACATGTTAGCTAGAAGGTTATCAGTTCTACTTCTTGAGTGTGAAAAACAAAAACTATATGAGGAATTGAATGAAATACTAAACTACTAAATACTAAAGTGTTTGTTACCAAGGAACAGCTCTGTGAGGACAGACTCCACTGTGAATAGTCTTTTGGTACTCTTGCCAGAGAAACTATGCTCATACACTGTCACCACTCTAGAGGCAGTGAGACTAACAGAATGGAGCTGAAAATTGAGGCAAACTAAAGTCTTATGCAATAGCCAACTTTATTCAAAGCATCAGACAACTTATACTCTGAGGGTTAAGAAGAGTTACATGAATAAAGTGTAAAATCACAAGGACAAACCAAACATGGCCAAAACATATAATATACAAAATAATTCTAAGCACAAAAGATTCAAAAGTAAATGATGAAGGCACTTCTGAAAGTAGGAATAAGCAAAAGAAAGGACTTCTAAAACCATGTTCTTGAATTAATAGAATTGAAACTAACTCTCCTGACAAAACTAGTCATCTATTTTAAGTAATTCTTATAATTGTAACTCACTGATGGAACAGGCAGTCTAAGCCTGAATATCCAAAACACAGTTGTAAGTACTCACAAAAGTAGCCTCACACATCACAGGATACACAAATAGGTATACAGTCACTCACTTTAAAAGTGCCTTATCACAGTGTTCCAGAGGTGATTAGAATTAGATCCTTAATCTGGTCAATTTACTGAGAGATTCATCAGTACTTCAGGAAATAACCTTATAGATTTATGGATATAAAAGACATGAGAAACTCCAAAGACTGTACACAAATGATGATAATGGTAGAGTTCCTCAATGTAAATTTTTTTTCCTCTCATTTCCTTGCAATGTTCATCTTTTTTTTTTTTTTATTTTGCAATACAATTCAGTTCTACATATCAGCCACGGATTCCCTTGTTCTCCCCCCTCCTGCCCCCCTCACCTTCAATGTAAAATTTTAAGATTACACAGATAACAATTCTTACCCAAATAATTAGGAAATTTAGTATAATTTCAATAAAATGCTGCTAGAACTACTTGTTGGTTTTAAACTTGGTAATGTGACTTGGGTTGCTGAGAATAGGTAAGGACTGGTAAAAATAACCAAAAAAAAAATTAAAAAACAAAATATAACAGGACAAATATGCGGGGAGCTTAGGCTTGTACAATAAAAACCATGCCTTAAAGACGGGCAAAGAAAAATGTGGTAGTACTGCAAAGAGAGAGGAAGGAACTTCCAATGGAGAAAAAAGTGCCAAGAGAAGCAATAAGAGACTCAGAAACAGGACACCTAACAACAGGATACCTAGGCCAGGGTAGCCCTCGGGGATGTTTTTCAATACTGGAGAGAAGGAAGATAAATACTTGTATTAGGGTTTCTATTGCTGTGAAGAAACATCATGACCACAGCAACTCTTAAAAAGAAAAACATTTCATTGGGGTGGCTTGCATACAGTTCAGAGGTTCAGTCCATTATCACCATGGTAGGACAAGGCAAAGTGCAGGCAGACATAGCTAGAGCTGAGAGTCTAACATCTTGCAGGCAACAGCAAATGGTCTCTGAGACTGGGTGGTATCCAGAGTATAGGAGACATCATAGCCCGCCCCTACAATGACACACTTCTTCCAACAAGGCCAAACCTACTCCAACAAGGTCACACCTCCTAAGAGTGCCACTCTCACTGAGTGCCATCTTTCAAACCACCACATCCCACTCCTTGGCCCCCAAAGACTTGTAGCCATACCATAATGCAAAAATGCAACCAGTCCAACTTCAAAACTCCCTATAGTCTCATATAACACCGTCACAAACATATTTAAAAGTCTAAAGCTCAAAGTCTCTTCAGAGATTCATGCAATCTCTTTTTTTTTTTATTTAATTTTTTTTATTTTTATTTTGCAATACAATTCAGTTCTACATATCAGTCACGGATTCCCTTGTTCTCCCCCCTCCCGCCCCCCCTCACCTTCCCCCCAGCCCACCCTCCATTCCCACCTCCTCCAGGGCAAAGCCTTCCCCGCGGACTGAGATCAACCTGGTAGACTCAGTCCAGGTAGTTCCAGTCCCCTCCTCCCAGGCCGAGCCAAGCGATCCTGCATAGGCCCCAGGTTTCAAACAGCTGACTCATGCAATGAGCACAGGACCCAGTCCCACTGCCTGGATGCCTCCCAAACAGATCAAGCCAATCAACTGTCTCACCCATTCAGAGGGCCTGATCCAGTTGGTGACCCCTCAGCCATTGGTTCATAGTTCATGTGTTTCCATTCGTTTGGCTATTTGTCCCTGTGCTTTATCCAACCTTAGTCTCAACAATTCTCGCTCATAAAAACCCTCCTCATTCTCGCTAATTGGACTCCCAGAGATCCACCCGGGGCCTAGCCATGGATATCTGCATCCAGATCCCTCAGTAGTTGGATGAGGTTTCTAGCACGACAATTAGGGTGTTTGGTCATCCCATCACCAGAGTAGGTCAATTCGGGCTGTATCTCGACCACTGCCAGCAGTCTGTTGTGGGGGTATCTTTGTGGATTTCTGTGGGCCTCTCTAGCACTTTGCTTCTTCCTATTCTCATGTGGTCTTCATTTACCATGGTCTCCTATTCCTTGTTCTCCCTCTCTGTTGTTGATCCATCATGCAATCTCTTAACTGTAATCCCCTATAAAATAAAGATCAAAAAGCAGATCACATACTTCCAGCATATAATGGCACAGAATATAAAATTACCATTCTAAAATGGAGGAAAGAGAAGACAGTGAGGAAATACTGGACCAAAGCAAAACCAAAAACAATCTGGGCAAACTCCAAACTCTGTAGCACCCTGTTTGATGTCAAAGCACTCTTCAGATCTCCAACTCAACTCAGCTTTGTTGACTACAACACACTTCTTTTTCTTGGGCTGGTTCCACTCCCTGTTAGCAGCTCTCCTCAGCAGTTATCCATCCTATGGTTCTGGCATCTCCAACATCTTAGAGTCTCCAAGGCAATCCAGTCTTCACATTCATAGCTTCACAACACAGTATCTCTAAGCCTCCATTCAGGGAAACCCCTGACACATGCCTGGCCTCGGTGGCTTTCCTTAGTCTCAGAGATAAATTCCATAACCCCTTTCTTCTATCCTTAAATCCAGAAACACGTGGCCGAAGCTACCAAGTTCTGCTGCTTACTGGGGCTGAGATGTCCCCCACCCCACCTTCAATTACATCTTCATCAGCTTTCTGTCCTTCACTGCCTAAGCTTGGCTGTACTGAAACTGGATCTCTATACCAGGCTAGCCTCAAACTCAGAGACCTACCAGCTTCTGCCTTCCAAGTGCTGGGATTAAAGGTGTGCACCACCACACCTGCCTCTAAGCTTTTCTTTAGTTCTTTTTCACTAGTTGAAAACTTAGCGGGGTGGGATCTTGCCCTTAGGTCATCACTCCCTTTATTCCATTTCTTAACCTGTTTATGTCCTTGAACACAGGATTTAGCTTTATTCCACTTTTTGGTGTCCCTTTTCTCCTTAAATCTTACATTTTCTAATTTACCCTGTGCAGTTTGTTCCTTTTTTTATGCTGTTTTGAGATTTCCTCTGCCAACAGAATTAATCCAAAACTCTTTACTTTAGCCTTAGGCAAACTCTTCTGACAAAGGCAAAAGGCAGCCACTTTCTTCACCAAAATATCACAAGAATGATCTCTAGGCAATATACTAAAATTCTTCTCTGAAACCTCTTGAGTGAGTCCCCCACAGTTCAAATAACTTTCCTTAGTTACAGAGGCAAATTCCATAGCCCCTTTCTTCTATCCTTTGAAAGGGTTAAACTCTCTCACTTTCAAAACTTAATTTAGAGCCCAGTTCTCTGAGAAGGACAAACAGGTGTTGTTAGCATTTAAGCATTACCCTGTCTTAGGAAACTTGCCAGTAAGTAAGCAGTACCTTGGCCCACTCAGGATCCTTGGGAGCCCCATCTGCATAGCCGGTTTGTGCATGCTTAAGAGGTGGGCCATGCCCACCTCTCTCTCTCTCTCTCTCTCTCTCTCTCTCTCTCTCTCTCTCTCTCTCTCTCTCTCTCTCTCTCTCTCTCTCTCTCCCCCCTCTCTTATCTCCAGAGGTGTACTCTGCATCCCTTCTTCCCTTCCCTTAATAAAATCCTCCACATGAGTGCTGTCTGCATGGAGTGAGGGATTTTTCTGTGGTGCCCCTTGGCTCCAACCCACCAAGGCCACCACCCGCTTTTTTAAAATACAACGGGTGTCTTTCCAACAAAGGGACATTTACCTACAAGGCCTTTATATTCAGGGTCAAGGGAGACAGAGAAATAAACACAGAAGGTCTAAGTCAACCTCACAGTATCTTGAGGACAAATGTGCAAATGTGTCCAAAAATGATAAGACTAAACTTCAGCCAATTAAAAATATGCTAAATAGTTAGGTAGCTGACCCTGAAACTCCCCTTAGCTGTGCTTAAAAGGAGCTTGCACGTCCCTCTATGGGTCGTTGCCATTTTGTACAGATTTGTGACCTCACATGCATGTGGTATAATAAATGCTCTTTGTTCTTGCACACTATTGGAGTCTGGGGTCTTCCTTCAGCATTTTCTCAGACCCCACATATGGTGGATTGGCCAGGAACACTAGGATCCCCTGTTAGGATGGCAGCAGGACAGACCATCATCCCAGAACGCCTGTCTACCTCAGAAGGCCCCCTTCCCAAAAGCCCCCTAAGAGCCAATCGATGCCCACCAAGTCAGCTAGAAGCAGTTTTTCCAGGAGAAACAACACCCCTATTCCTATTCACTCACTTTTTTATAATAAGCAAAAAGTTTGGAATGTTAGGATCCTGCCCTCATTCTGGCACATGCTGAGTGGGTTCTTGCGTCTTACGTTATCAGCGGGCGTGGGTGACTACATATCCGACTTAAAAGGCCAGATGCGGACACCCATGCGCTCTCTCTGCTCTGCTCTGCTCCCTCCCCCATCTTTCTCTC